CTTTTCCTGCTTCTATCTCTCTCACTGTCTGCTGCTGCTGCTGCTGCTGCTGCTGCTGCTGCTGCTGCTGTTGTTGTTGTTGCTGCTGCTGAGAGGATGACAACGAGTGGTCATAACCTGCTGCTGCTCCTGCTGCTGCTGCTGCTGCTGCTGCTGCTGCTGCTTCAGGTCCCCCTGATAGAGATGTCGGCAGCAGCACCAAACGCAGAGAACGGAGACGCACAAACTGCAGCTCTGCTACCAGCTGCGGCCCATTCCTGCTGCTGCTGCTGCTGCTGCTGCTGCTGCTGCTGCTGGTTGTGGTTGTGTCGGGGTGCCAGGGGCTCAGCAGCCGCTCATCCCACGCCTCCAGACGCATGGTCAGCGGCTTCTGCTGCTGCTGCTGCTGCTGCTGCAGCTGCTGCTGCTGCTGCTGCAGCAGCAGAGCAGGTGCAGCAGGAGGCAGCAAGAAGAGCTCCCGGGCTGTAAGCGGGCAAACAGCAGTAAAGGGGGGCCGACCGAAAGAGAAGGGAGGAGACAGAGATAAACCCCAAAGAGAGGAGACAGACGAGCTCACACCCATGCATGCAGCATCTGCTGCTGTTCCCGCTGCTGCTGCTGCTGCTGCTGCTGCTGCTGCTGCTGCTGGAGAGTCACCAGCTAGTAAAGCTGCGTGGCGTGCTGCTGCTTCGGAAGGAGAAAGACACCGCAGCAGCAAACTCTCCCGAGACGTCAGCAGCTCCCCATGAGCTACTACACCTCCTGCTGCTGCTGCTGCTGCTGCTGTTCCTGCTGCTGCTGCTGCTGCTGCTGCTGCTGCTTCTACAGGCTGCAGCCGCAGCACCCGCACCGCCTCTGTGTCGGGGCTGCCGAACTGCAGCAGCAAACGCGACGCTACCCCTGGGAATAGAGGCAGGCGCACAACCTGCACCTGCTGCTGCTGCTGCTGCTGCTGCTGCTGAGCCCCTGCTGCTGCTGCTGCTGCTGCTGCTGCTGCTGCTGAGGCATCGTGAAGGGGCAGTGGTAGAGGCAGCAGACGGAGAGGAGGAGACAGCAGCAGCAGCAAACTGTCAGCTAGCTGGCCATGGGCCCATAGGGGTAGAAGTTGCTGCGTTCCTGCTGCTGCTGCTGCTGCTGTTGCTGCTGCTGCTGCTGCTGCTTCTCTCCACCGTTCTAGCGACTGCTGCAGCAGCTGCTGCTGCTGCTTTGTTAGTGCTGCTGCTGCAGCAGCAGCTATTTCTGTTGGGGGCTGTATAGACACCTCAAGACTGTAGGAGCCGCAGCAGAGAGAAGAGGAGACAGACAGCAACCCCACCGAGTAACCACTACCTTCTGCTGCTGCTGCTGCTCCTGCTGCTGCTGCTGCTGCTGCTGACGATGATGAGAG